TCCCCCTCCCCCTCCCCGTCCCCCGCCTCCTTTTAGGTGTTGCGCCTCAAGCGCCACCAGACTCTACGAAAAGTCGTCGTGGCCGCCATCCGCCGCCAGAACTTGACCCCGCAAGTTACCAACGCCCCGAGCGCCATGCGCAAGTGGAAGCAGCTCGTGCGCAGGTGCAGGGAGAACGATCGACTGAGCCAGGAGCTCGCGGGCCTGGCGGAGATGTCGCCGTTGACACCGGCGGTGGCGCGCCCGCGCGCATCCGCCGGGTGGAGAATGTCCGACACGATGTCGGGGGGGCGCATCAGCGGTGGCTGGGATGGGGGAGGGGTCCGGGGTTACGGGGAGGGGAGGGGTGAGGTCACGCCATCGTTTTCTCGGTCACCTTTTCCGGCCTCCGCGGTGGAGAGGTCGTCCGCGAGGAGGAGGCTGTGGGATGAAACGTCCCCGAAAGTATCGCCGGTTGAGGAGGTTGCAGACTCTTCTTGATGTGCTTGTTGGGCTGATGAAAAAACCTTGCGGCGATTGTGCCTTCTTTTTATCTTGTGGGCCACCCACCTTTTCGTCAGAGCAGTTTGACGCCTCGTCGCACGCTGTACGCTGGGCTTGCATGCACAGTTTTTTTTTCTCCCTTCTCCTTAGTTTGGTGAGACACAAGCGTTAGGCTTTTCTTTGCGCTTCCCTTGGGTACGTAAACCTGCGTCGGGGTGATTTGCACATGGGCCAAGTGCCCCCCCTGACGCATCGCCATGTACAGTAGTAGCACATGTTTACAAGGAAGGATAACTGTTTACGAATACAATTTGTGTCGATGCTTTACCCTGTTGACGTTTGGCCGTTGAACAAGGCACTGCACAGCATGACTGCTGTGCTTCCAACACCCGCATCTTCATGCGGTCGATAGACCATCTACCCCCTGGTGATCTTCGTAGAGACTTTCGCCTCAAGACGCTGTTCATCCACCTGCGCATGATGCGAAAATATTTTATCCGCCTGCTGCAACCTGAAAACTAGCGGGTTGGCAGGGCATGCGTTTCGATAGTTTCGCGATGTCCTTCTGCCCCCGCGAACCTCTACTGATTTCTGATCGGGACGGCCGCTGTTCTCACCAACAAACCAACATTCACCCCGCCGGTTCCCTCGCTGCCTAGTCCGCCGTCTACCATTGACACAGCCATCCACCTTTCAAGCACGTTACATACCGCCTCTTCCTTTACACGCGCTGCTTTTGTGTGGACACAACACGTTTCTTCTACCGTGCTCCTGTGCATGTTTCGTCTCTTTGACCGGCCCGCCGATGTCAAGACCTACAGCAGGAGGTGGTCAACGCAACGCAACCCATGGTTGCATCAGTCCGAGAGGAGATTGCTGGCGTCATCCAACGGCATGTACTGGATCTGGCGTCCCTGCTGCTGCACCTCGAGCACGCTGTCCGGCTCGTACTCCGGGTTGATAATCTTCGTCGCCCACCCGACCCCCAGGACGTTGTTCAGGACGATGATGAACACCGCCAGCCCGAGACCCACGTAGCTCCACACGCCCAGGCCCAGCGCCGCCTGGACCTTCTCCCATACCGGCATCTGGTTCACAGCCGCTTCCTGGTTGCCCCCCACCTCCCCCTCCTCCTCGACCCCCTCCTCGTAGTCTCCGCCGCCTTCGATCTCTCGCTCCGCGTTCCGCAGCGCGCGGGCCATCATCGCGGCGTTGCCCCCCCCTCTCGCTGGAGAGGGGTTGTCGTTGTCGTCGTCGACTTCGTCGTCGTCTTCGCTTCCCCAAAGCCCCACCCCGCCGCCTTCCTTGAGGCCCTTGATGTACAAGATGGGGACGTCGCTGTCCTCCGCTGCCTTCACCCGCTGCTGCTTTTCCTTCTGTTGCTTGAGGTGCTGCGGCACCGGCGCTGGTGCCGCTGCTTTCCCGCCGCCGCCGCCGCCGCCACCTTCCGCGGCACTTTCGCCGGTACCGCTGTTGCTGGTGGCGTCGAGGGCGACGACGTACCCCATGCTTCGCCGTGGTCGGACTCGCGCGAGAGCTGATCTACGCGCCGGCGGTGCACCTGAGAGAACGATCGGAGTTGTTGAGCGGTCATGCAACAGGCATGCTGCTGTTAATAACTCCGAACAGGGAGGTGTGCTTGCGAACACGAAAACATTTGTTACTGCTGTTGGGGGCGGGCGGGCGGGCGTATGCCGATCATGCCTCCGCCGAAAAGCAGATATTTCAAAGTACTGGTTGGTCGGTGGCGCTCGAGTATGCTTCACCAAAATTGATGCACAGGGGGGGGGGGGGGGGGGGGGGG